GACGCTTCTGTCGACACTGATCCAGGACTGGGACCACAACAACACCGAGACGCTTCTGTCGACACTGATCCAGGACTGGGACCACAACAACACCGAGACGCTTCTGTCGACACTGATCCAGGACTGGGACCACAACAACACCGAGACGCTTCTGTCGACACTGATCCAGGACTGGGACCACAACAACACCGAGACGCTTCTGTCGACACTGATCCAGGACTGGGACCACAACAACACCGAGACGCTTCTGTCGACACTGATCCAGGACTGGGACCACAACAACACCGAGACGCTTCTGTCGACACTGATCCAGGACTGGGACCACAACAACACCGAGACGCTTCTGTCGACACTGATCCAGGACTGGGACCACAACAACACCGAGACGCTTCTGTCGACACTGATCCAGGACTGGGACCACAACAACACCGAGACGCTTCTGTCGACACTGATCCAGGACTGGGACCACAACAACACCGAGACGCTTCTGTCGACACTGATCCAGGACTGGGACCACAACAACACCGAGACGCTTCTGTCGACACTGATCCAGGACTGGGACCACAACAACACCGAGACGCTTCTGTCGACACTGATCCAGGACTGGGACCACAACAACACCGAGACGCTTCTGTCGACACTGATCCAGGACTGGGACCACAACAACACCGAGACGCTTCTGTCGACACTGATCCAGGACTGGGACCACAACAACACCGAGACGCTTCTGTCGACACTGATCCAGGACTGGGACCACAACAACACCGAGACGCTTCTGTCGACACTGATCCAGGACTGGGACCACAACAACACCGAGACGCTTCTGTCGACACTGATCCAGGACTGGGACCACAACAACACCGAGACGCTTCTGTCGACACTGATCCAGGACTGGGACCACAACAACACCGAGACGCTTCTGTCGACACTGATCCAGGACTGGGACCACAACAACACCGAGACGCTTCTGTCGACACTGATCCAGGACTGGGACCACAACAACACCGAGACGCTTCTGTCGACACTGATCCAGGACTGGGACCACAACAACACCGAGACGCTTCTGTCGACACTGATCCAGGACTGGGACCACAACAACACCGAGACGCTTCTGTCGACACTGATCCAGGACTGGGACCACAACAACACCGAGACGCTTCTGTCGACACTGATCCAGGACTGGGACCACAACAACACCGAGACGCTTCTGTCGACACTGATCCAGGACTGGGACCACAACAACACCGAGACGCTTCTGTCGACACTGATCCAGGACTGGGACCACAACAACACCGAGACGCTTCTGTCGACACTGATCCAGGACTGGGACCACAACAACACCGAGACGCTTCTGTCGACACTGATCCAGGACTGGGACCACAACAACACCGAGACGCTTCTGTCGACACTGATCCAGGACTGGGACCACAACAACACCGAGACGCTTCTGTCGACACTGATCCAGGACTGGGACCACAACAACACCGAGACGCTTCTGTCGACACTGATCCAGGACTGGGACCACAACAACACCGAGACGCTTCTGTCGACACTGATCCAGGACTGGGACCACAACAACACCGAGACGCTTCTGTCGACACTGATCCAGGACTGGGACCACAACAACACCGAGACGCTTCTGTCGACACTGATCCAGGACTGGGACCACAACAACACCGAGACGCTTCTGTCGACACTGATCCAGGACTGGGACCACAACAACACCGAGACGCTTCTGTCGACACTGATCCAGGACTGGGACCACAACAACACCGAGACGCTTCTGTCGACACTGATCCAGGACTGGGACCACAACAACACCGAGACGCTTCTGTCGACACTGATCCAGGACTGGGACCACAACAACACCGAGACGCTTCTGTCGACACTGATCCAGGACTGGGACCACAACAACACCGAGACGCTTCTGTCGACACTGATCCAGGACTGGGACCACAACAACACCGAGACGCTTCTGTCGACACTGATCCAGGACTGGGACCACAACAACACCGAGACGCTTCTGTCGACACTGATCCAGGACTGGGACCACAACAACACCGAGACGCTTCTGTCGACACTGATCCAGGACTGGGACCACAACAACACCGAGACGCTTCTGTCGACACTGATCCAGGACTGGGACCACAACAACACCGAGACGCTTCTGTCGACACTGATCCAGGACTGGGACCACAACAACACCGAGACGCTTCTGTCGACACTGATCCAGGACTGGGACCACAACAACACCGAGACGCTTCTGTCGACACTGATCCAGGACTGGGACCACAACAACACCGAGACGCTCCTGTCGACACTGATCCAGGACTGGGACCACAACAACACCGAGACGCTTCTGTCGACACTGATCCAGGACTGGGACCACAACAACACCGAGACGCTTCTGTCGACACTGATCCAGGACTGGGACCACAACAACACCGAGACGCTTCTGTCGACACTGATCCAGGACTGGGACCACAACAACACCGAGACGCTTCTGTCGACACTGATCCAGGACTGGGACCACAACAACACCGAGACGCTCCTGTCGACACTGATCCAGGACTGGGACCACAACAACACCGAGACGCTTCTGTCGACACTGATCCAGGACTGGGACCACAACAACACCGAGACGCTCCTGTCGACACTGATCCAGGACTGGGACCACAACAACACCGAGACGCTTCTGTCGACACTGATCCAGGACTGGGACCACAACAACACCGAGACGCTCCTGTCGACACTGATCAAGGACTGGGACCACAACAGCACAGGAGCTCTGTGACACTGACAGACTGGCCACAAAACACCGAGACGCTTCTGTCGACCATGATCCAGGACTGGGACCACAACAACACCGAGACCCTTCTGTCGACACTGATCCAGGACGGGGACCACAACAACACCGAGACGCTTCTGTCGACACTGATCCAGGACTGGGACCACAACAACACCGAGAGGCTCCTGTCGACACTGATCCAGGCACTGGGACCACCAACACACGAGACGCTCCTGTCGACACTGATCAAGGACTGGGACCACAACAACACCGAGACGCTTCTGTCGACACTGATCCAGGACTGGGACCACAACAACAACCGAGACGCTCCTGTCGACACTGATCCAGGACTGGGACCACAACAACACCGAGACGCTTCTGTCGACACTGATCCAGGACTGGGACCACAACAACACCGAGACGCTCCTGTCGACACTGATCAAGGACTGGGACCACAACAGCACAGAGAGGCTCCTGTCGATACTGATCCAGGACTGGGACCAGAACAACACCGAGACGCTCCTGTCGACACTGATCAAGGACTGGGACCACAACAGCACAGAGAGGCTCCTGTCGACACTGATCCAGGACTGGGACCACAACAACACCGAGACGCTTCTGTCGACACTGATCCAGGACTGGGACCACAACAACACCGAGACCCTCCTGTCGACACTGATCCAGGACGGGGACCACAACAACACCGAGACGCTTCTGTCGACACTGATCCAGGACTGGGACCACAACAACACCGAGACGCTTCTGTCGACACTGATCCAGGACTGGGACCACAACAACACCGAGACGCTTCTGTCGACACTGATCCAGGACTGGGACCACAACAACACCGAGACGCTTCTGTCGACACTGATCCAGGACTGGGACCACAACAACACCGAGACGCTCCTGTTGACACTGATCCAGGACTGGGACCACAACAACACCGAGAGGCTCCTGTCGACACTGATCCAGGACTGGGACCACAACAACACCGAGACGCTCTGTCGACACTGATGCAAGGACTGGGACCACAACAGCACATGAGAGGCTCCTGTCGATACTGATCCAGGACTGGGACCAGAACAACACCGAGACGCTCCTGTCGACACTGATCCAGGACTGGGACCACCACAACACCGAGAGGCTCCTGTCAACACTGATCCAGGACTGGGACCAGAACAACGCCGAGACGCGCAATTCAGAGTTTTCAAAAAGTGGTAAATTTGCAAAGTGTCACGTTTGTAGTCCAGCGGTTTGACAGTCACTTGGCTCTTAGCGGTTCAGCACCATGGACAGCGTCATGTTCAAAACAGAAGAAGGAGAAGAGGAAGCGAGGAGGTATTTTCATTACTTCTGTAGATTTGATTGAACAAATATTTTACTGCAACTGCACGGATCATATTTTTTTATTATTTTAACATTATCAAACAACAAAGAGGCATAGTTTTTCAATGACCTTAAGTTTAATCACATCTGGCGGCTGTTTTTTTGCGTTGCCGTTCAGGAGCAAAATTAGTAGTCGTTGTAATATTTTTACTTGAGCAGTTTTACAATGTATTTTATATATTTTTTACATGCTCAAATAATTCAAGAAAGAAAGAAAGCTCAAAAAAGCAGAAGGCAGAAGCAAAAAGCACTGGATTCGTCAAAAAATAAGCCTAAAATTCAGCCTAATTTCTTCGGTCACAATTGCGTTTGTAAATCTATGTTAAAGCCTGTACACTGCTGACATGAGACACACTGTTTTTTGTCACTTTGTCCATTTTAGGTCAAAATAATAATAATAATTTGTATGACCGAATAAGTGCCTCCCTCACAGCGATGATCTGGGACATTTACGGACCGTGGTCGTCCTTCTCCCGATGGACCCACGCTGTTTGTTATTCCTGCATTTCCTTCGTTCAAACTGTTTTTCTGATCTGTTGTTGATGAATCGACAACTGTGTGAGACGTCTGCATTTCTCCTGTATCTGTGTTTTCCATGTTTTTTCGGTTCACTGTGGTTCTTTTGTGCAGGGGAAGCAGCTGCTGATAAATGTGCCGTGTAAACGTGTGCGTCCATTGCATTTTAATGACACAATACAGGTTACCAGAACATATTTCAATGAATTCACATTTTTTTGTTACAAGTTCAACAAAATCGTTCAGTTCGAGTCCCTCCAGGATCGACTGTGACAGTTTTTACTTAAATACAAAAAAAAGAATGACATATTTTCACCTCTCTGCTGGGATTGTTCCAACACTGAGGCCAATGAACGACACTTCTCTGAGTCAGTCATTTTCTTTTGGTAAAATACGTATACTGTCATAGCACATTTGATTTAGCCTTAAACATGATTTGAAGTATTTTATAGTTTACAATGTCTTTAAATGTCATAATATTTGTTTTTAGAAATAATGGATTTGTATGATCATAATATCTTACTTTAATAATCAGGTGAATGGCACGTTTTAGTGATTAAACATGAATCATGATCATAATACTGTATGTAGTGTGATTTACAGTTATGATATGAGAGGTGTGTGAGGTGGGTGTGTCTCTGTGAAGGGGGGGGGGGTGTCTCTGTAAGGGGGGGTGGGGTGGGGGTTCGGAGCTCTACCATCCGTCAGTTCGCTGGTCCCCTGGGTGCTGGTATTTGCGTCGTGCTGCTTCCGTGTGAATTAATCCTCATTAGACTGAGGAGACTGAGGAGGGGGGGCGCTCACCCACTGCTCCCCGATCTTTGAACCAGAGCAGACCCCGCCCCCACACAGCCCCAATCTGTCCCAGGACGCATGACGGGGAACTATACTTTTATCTCGTGTGTATATGTCTGACTGGTACAAGTTCTCAGGGTGCTCCAGTTTACTGCGGCGTCCACTGCTCCTGAGGCCCTGGTGGTTTTGAAGGGGGGGGTCATATGTGGTGGGAGGAGAAATGTTCCTATGGTGACAATAAAGTTATTTAACAAGGTGTCCTCCGGGTGCTCCGGTTTACATTAGCAACACCTGAATGAGTGCTTTATTTTGAACAGAAAAGTGTGACCTTCCATTGTAAGCTAAAAACATTAATATGAGCGAGAGATCTGCTCCAATGGACAGTCAGGCTGTAGACCCAGGACTGAGGCTGTAGACCCAGGACTGAGGCTGTAGACCCAGGACTGAGGCTGTAGACCCAGGACTGAGGCTGTAGACCCAGGACTGAGGCTGTAGACCCAGGACTGAGGCTGTAGATCCAGGACTGAGGCTGTAGATACAGGACTGAGGCTGTAGATCCAGGACTGAGGCTGTAGATACAGGACTGAGGCTGTAGATACAGGACTGAGGCTGTAGACCCAGGACTGAGGCTGTAGATCCAGGACTGAGGCTGTAGATACAGGACTGAGGCTGTAGATCCAGGACTGAGGCTGTAGATCCAGGACTGAGGCTGTAGATACAGGACTGAGGCTGTAGATCCAGGACTGAGGCTGTAGATACAGGACTGAGGCTGTAGACCCAGGACTGAGGCTGTAGACCCAGGACTGAGGCTGTAGATCCAGGACTGAGGCTGTAGACCCAGGACTGAGGCTGTAGACACAGGACTGAGGCTGTAGACCCAGGACTGAGGCTGTAGACCCAGGACTGAGGCTGTAGACCCAGGACTGAGGCTGTGCAGTGCAAGCCGGGAGAGGCTCTCAGGCACGCTGCCTCCAAGTCCAGGCCATAAGAGACCAGTTCACAAATCTGCTCAAAAGAGACGAGGATCAGGGGTCCGACTATCACGGCATAATAAATAGTTTTACATTGATAATCCTAAACAATTATGTGGTGAAATGTAAAAGAAAACCCTAAATGCAGGATTGACAATAAAATGTTAAATATCAAATAAATCCAAGGTGACGCCAAAGCAGAAAAGTCTTGAACTGAAAACAAGCCATAAACAAACGTGGCTTAGACAATGGACGGGCAAAGAGTGGGAAAAGCACAGGGAATAAACAGACTCAAAATGCAGCTCAAGATAATCCAAAAGTCCACACCATGACAGAACCGGAGTCTGTCAAGTCTGTGTTTTTGACCTGACTAACTCTGTAAAACTCCCAAAAACACACCCACACATCAGAGCGCCTCATCAGAGCGCCTCATCAGAGCGCGTCATCAGAGCGCCTCATCAGAGCGCCTCATCAGAGCGCGTCATCAGAGCGCCTCATCAGAGCGCGTCATCAGAGCGTCTCATCAGAGCGCCTCATCCTAGCGCCTCATCAGAGCGCCTCATCAGAGCGCCTCATCAGAGCGCCTCATCAGAGCGCGTCATCAGAGCGTCTCATCAGAGCGCCTCATCCTAGCGCCTCATCAGAGCGCCTTATCATCTCATCAGAGCGTCTCATCAGAGCGCCTCATCGCGGCACGGTGGCTGAGTGGATAGCACTCTCGCCTCTCAGCAAGAAGGTCCTGGGTTCAAATCCCGGTTGGACCAGGGCCTTTCTGAGTGGAGTTTGCATGTTCTCCCCGTGTCTGCGTAGGTTTCCTCCGGGTGCTCCGGTTTCCCCTACCACTAAAAATATGTACAATAGGTCTGGCATGTGCCTCCTGTACTGGCGACCCCACTCCCAAAAATAACAATTGTAAACCGCTTTGAGACTCCGATGTGCAGTGAAAAGGCGGTATATAAATAAAGATTACTTACTTACTTACTTACTTACTTACTCATCAGAGCGCCTCATCAGAGCACCTCATCAGAGCGTCTCATCAGAGCGCCTCATCAGAGCGTCTCATCAGAGCGTCTCATCAGAGCGTCTCATCAGAGCGCCTTATCATCTCATCAGAGCGTCTCATCAGAGCGTCTCATCAGAGCGCCTCATCATCTCATCAGAGCGTCTCATCAGAGCGCCTCATCAGAGCGCCTCATCAGAGCGTCTCATCAGAGCGCCTCATCAGAGCGTCTCATCAGAGCGCCTCATCATCTCATCAGAGCGTCTCATCAGAGCGCGTCATCAGAGCGTCTCATCAGAGCGTCTCATCAGAGCGTCTCATCAGAGCGCGACATCAGAGCGCCTCATCAGAGCGCCTCATCAGAGCGTCTCATCAGAGCGCCTCATCAGAGCGCCTCATCAGAGCGCCTCATCAGAGCGCCTCATCAGAGCGCCTCATCAGAGCGCCTCATCAGAGCGTCTCATCAGAGCGTCTCATCAGAGCGCCTCATCAGAGCGTCTCATCAGAGCGTCTCATCAGAGCGCCTCATCAGAGCGCCTCATCAGAGCGCCTCATCAGAGCGCCTCATCATCTCATCAGAACGTCTCATCAGAGCGTCTCATCAGAGCGTCTCATCAGAGTGTCTCATCAGAGCGCCTCATCAGAGCGTCTCATCAGAGCGTCTCTTCAGAGCGCCTCATCAGAGCGCCTCATCAGAGCGCCTCATCAGAGCGCCTCATCAGAGCGCCTCATCAAAGCGCCTCATCATCTCATCAGAGCGTCTCATCAGAGCGTCTCATCAGAGCGTCTCATCAGAGCGCGTCATTAGAGCGTCTCATCAGAGCGTCTCATCAGAGCGCCTCATCAGAGCGCCTCATCAGAGTGTCTCATCAGAGCGCCTCATCAGAGCGTCTCATCAGAGCGTCTCATCAGAGCGCCTCATCAGAGCGCCTCATCAGAGCGCCTCATCAGAGCGCCTCATCAGAGCGCCTCATCAAAGCGCCTCATCATCTCATCAGAGCGTCTCATCAGAGCGCGTCATCAGAGCGCCTCAGCATCTCATCAGAGTGTCTCATCAGAGCGCCTCATCAGAGCGCCTCATCAGAGCGTCTCCGAGTGCGCGCTAAATGCTAAATGAAAGGTGACACTGGCCTGTAATGATCCGGCCGCTGATGCCTCATAAATACATGTCCATTCACCAAACAGCGTGCCTCACAGAGAGCGCTTCAGTCCCGCCGCCCGGTGACTGATATGCATGGCTTACCTCTGTAATTGTCTTGGTGCGCTGGAGCCACACTCGCGCACGGACGGCCTCGGCGCACGCTAATGTCCAACGTGCTAAAATGGATCCAGGAGTGAATTATTGGCTCGGTTAGCGGTATCGAGGTGTTGCTGGTCCCACGGGGGGTCATATCATTTCACCTCCCCGGCTACAGACTCACGTGTGTGTGTGTGTGTGTGTGTGTGTGTGTGTGTGTGTGTGTGTGTGTGTGTGCGTGTGTGTGTGTGTGTGTGTGTGTGTGTGTGTGTGCGTGTGTGTGTGTGTGGTGAAGGTCAGCGGTACCCTCGTGGGGGAATGGGCACAGGTAGCACAGGCCGCGGAGGGAGCCAATGAACAAATCCTAATTATAAAGTGTAAAGGCATTGAAGGACCTCCAAAAGTTCCGCCCGGCCGTCATCACGAACAGTGGGGCACTAAACACTACGTCCGCGACCTCTGGGATCCCACCGCAGCGTGTCAGGGGTCTGTGCATCTCCTGCCCGATTCTGACACACGCGCATGGTACGGATTTATGGTTCTGTGTCATTGGGCTGAAGGAAAAGTTAAATGCAGTATTATGGTAAAAGTACTTTTTAATGAATTATTTATTATTGTAGTGCCTGTGTGGCTGTTTTTGCCTAGTTTTGCTCCAGACTCCTCTCTCTGAGGTGCTCCAGGGACAGACTAAAAAACTCTTTTGTCCCCAACGCCATCAGGCTCTATAACAAAGCCACTTCAGGGAGGAGCAGGGGGGGGTCTTGAGAATTGTTTTGCAGTGCCTTAACTTCTCTTTTAATGTTTTTAATGTATTTATTGTCTCGTTTTTAACTTTTGCATCTTATAATTCTTACCTATGTATGTATTGTTGTATGATTGTGAGCAAGGGACAAGTGCACAATTTCCTTCGGGATCAATAAAGTATATATCTATCTATCTATCTATCTATCTTGTTGTTGCCTTGGGTACGATCTGTGCTGTATAAATAAACTTGCCCTTCCTCGCCTTTCCGTATTCATACATCTGCATTTTGACATTGACATCCAGTTGAAGCTTTAGTCAAATCCTCTGTGAGCTCCAGTTTGGTGTGATCCGAAAATAATCAAATAAGAATCTGTAAGTATTTGTATTGACTTTGTAATGAACAGAAAGTCACACACTATGAATTACTTTGGCCCATGATACAAACAAGTTATAAAAAGGAGGAAATGCATGAATCTTTCTACTGCACTGCAAAAAATGTTAGAATATGAGGTAATCATGTCTTGAATCCAGTGGTTTTTATCCTGGGCTTTGGATCGACCTGTTCAAGGAGATACGGCTTCATCAGAATCCTGTTTTTTCACTTCTTCAAACCCACTTTTATCGAACAGCTTCCTATAACTGTCTGTTTTAAACTCTACATGTGTTTTACTCTTTCACATCGTCTTTGAGTTGTCTTTCTGCTTTAATCTCCTTTATCATAACTGTTTATTGACTGTTTTTGACTCTGCAGCGCTATACAATTAAAGATGTATGATTATTATTTGTATTATTCAGTGGACATTCTGAAATTTAAGCCAATAATGCACTAAGTAAAGGTAAAGGTGGACTTTATGTATCCCTGTAGGCAGGGCCGGAGTGGGACAACATTTCAGGCCGGGAGCTTTTCATCCATTCAGGCCAAACAAGGTTCTAAATTTGGGTTTTTGTCATTGTATTTTGATGTTCTTTTAATAGTTTTAAGATTGACTGTCAAAACTTTTGTTTTCTTTATATAAACAGTCAATATAAAAAAAATAATCTCGGACGTTTAAGGATTGTTGTACGTTGCTTAGCAACGTAACGTTTATGGAGCTTAGTGAGAATAAAGACACACACACACACACACAATGAACTAAGTGTTCATTAGTGTATAACTATAACAAGCTAATCAATTATTGTTAAAAAAGTAGTAAGGTAAAATCACATCGTTACAGCTCATATAAAAGGAAAAATAAAAACGTGTATGAACCATCAGTTGGAGAGACCACTCATTTCAACCGGGGAAGCTACACTGGGTGCACTGCTAGGCTGGCCTGGCTGTGTAGCCGACGTGTGACGTCACATTTGTTTAATTTTGCTCTGGCCCAATGACAGTAAAGATTTGGCCAGTGTTGTGCCAGTTCACAGCTTTTCTGAACTAGTTCAAGTTCAGTTCATACATGCTCAAAGTGAACAGTTCACGTTCGAAGTTCTCAATTTTAATTCTGAACTAGTTCAAAGTTCAGTTCATTTTACTTTTTGCGAGATATTCAAATAAATATTTTTTTTCACTACGAGCTAGAAATCACAATACGTGGTGTATATATATATATATTATATCCTGTACACTGCACAGGATGTTTTGACTCCAATGCAGACAAGATTTACATGGGTTTCAATGGGAACTGAGTTGTCCCATCTCTGCTCATAAGTACAAACTGTAATGCGCTGCAGAACGTGTGTCTATACTTTATGTCAAATGTAAACGGCCCTGTGTCACTGACTTACCCCTGTGTTTTCATCACGGCACATGTGAGTCCAACAACCAATGAATAGCACTAGCATACAGCGCCGCACCGCAAGTACACTGAGTGGGGTGCGTTCACAGACGGTGGAAACCGTAGGAATTTTTAGTTTTCAGCGGAAACAGTGCGGAGAAAACAGGAGGGAGGAACTTTCTCTCGTTGCGTTTCAAAAGAGAAAACAGATTTCACTCAGTTTTAAATTGAAAACAAATTATCTGCCGTTCATGACACATAATATGAACTAATTCACGTTCAAGTTCTTTATTAAAAAATGTGTTGCGTTCAGTTCAACGTTCACGAAAAAATGAGCGTATTCAAGTAAGTAGTAGTAAGTAAGCTTTATTTATATACCGCCTTTCACAGACCAGAGTCACAAAGCGGTTTACAATTGTTATTTTTGGGCATTTGTCTCTCACTCCACACAGAGATGGGAGCGGGGTCGCCGAACAGGAGGCGCATGCTAGACCTATTGTACATATTTTTAGTGATAGGGGAAACCGGAGTACCCGGAGGAAACCTACGCAGACACGGGGAGAACTTGCAAACTCCACTCAGAAAGGCCCTTGTCCGGCCGGGATTCGAACCAAGGACCTTCTTGCTGAGAGGCGAGAGTGCTATCCACTCAGCCACCGTGCCGCCCACGCGTGCCCGCCCTCAATGAACGCGTTCTTATGAACTCGTTCACGCACAACACTGGCTTTGGCCTGGGCCTTGCTCATTGGACCAGGCCACCAGGCAGGGTAGGAGTTTGCAAAGACCGTGAGGATGAAATTAAATTAAAAGAAAAAAAAAAAAAAGACCGTGATGATAGGGCAGGCCCAGGCCACTTTGACACGCAGGCCACCGGGAGATCTCCCGATGCTCCCGATGGCCAGTCCGGGCCAGCCTGTAGGGCACTTCACCCTCTGCATTTGACCCTGAACCTTCTTTCTGAGAAGCTGGAGTGCTAACCACTCAGGCACGGAACGGTGGCTTCTCAGCAAGAACTTGATGTTTTGGTCTGAAGGCCGAAGCTTCTTGCATTTACATTTATGAATTAATAAACTCACACTTTGATTGCATTTCAGCTCTTGGTTGATAATCCTTGTGTGGCTTTAGGTCTGTGCAGAACTTCCACAACACACGCACGCACGACCCCAGACCCGCCTCCTCTGTCCGTCAGACTCGTCCGTTCTCATTGTACTGTACATATTATGTTTCAGTGCAGTAGTTTGAAAGCTCAGTGCCGGAGCTTCAGAAAAGCAGCAGGATAAATCCCAGGATCCCACTGGATTCACTGAATGATGTAACAACAAGGATGGCCTTTAAATATGAGATTATGACACAGGAAGTGCAGGCCTTATTTGGAAGTGTGTGTCTGTGTTGCACCTTGTCTTGTCTCTCAAAGTTTCAGCGACCTCTGGACGGACGCGCAGCTCGGCTCCTCGCCGCAGGACCCGGTTTATCATCGGCTAATCCCGTTATTTTTTAAGCCAGTGAATTTTTGAACTTTTAATAGCTACTTATTGGTTGCATGGATTAGCATTGAACAGAAGCTAATAGGATTTATGCACAAGCTCCCAGTGCAGCTCCGTGAATGGCGTCCTGTTGCTGGGAAGCCGCCATTACGGCTTAATTGAGTCATATTTGTGTTTCAGTTTGGCATCTGTGGCAGGAAGCGGTATCTGTGGCGAGATGCGGGGTCTGTGGCGGGACCATAGACTGTAAATATTAACAGATGTAGTCACACCTATTGCCGCTGTTCTAACTAATGGGCCAAAAATTGGGCTCTCATGGAGTGATTCAAAATGGCCGCGGGGGCTGGAAAATGTGAAAAAACACATCTGTGCATGCGTCAGCTGCACGAGCTCCATTCATTTAAACGAGAGACTTCTAAAGTCCACAGCGACTAAACTAGACTGGTTCAGAACACTCAGCATTGACACACATGTGGAACGGAGCTTTGGACCAAGAGCCACTTTTGGACCATCCTGTAAAGACGTTTTCCAGAGGTCTGCCAATGCTATATGTTAGCATTGGCTAATTCTTATTCTGGGTCCACCCCCACAGGCCCGGGGTGGTACTGCACGTAATTTTGGCCACTTTTGGCAGGATTTTGTTTTTATCTTGTCTTTCAACTCTTTGAATTTCCACGTGTGTGAACTGTGCTATACAAAAAAACTTGCCTTACTATTGCTAGCAACATTTTGAATGATGTATTTATCTGTTTGTTGGTTGGACCTGTTTCTGCTGCTGCTGGTTCTGTCGAGAAAACACCTGGACGAGGACAAAAGAGGATGAATCTGAGACTGAAACATTGAAATAGACAAAGTTCTTCACATGAGGCTCCGTGGATCGTCTCCTCGCTCTGCCACACTCTGACAATTACAGGCAATTAGCGTTGGCTGCTCTAATTAGGCTGTCAAAGGCTCCGGCTCATCAGCAGCGTCCGCTCTCCGCCCGGCAACAGGGCTTCCACCGGATTGACACGCGGCAACCTCCCGGTGACGAGGCGCTCTTCGAATTATATGTTCGGTCTCAGCTGGAGTCACACAGGCCATTAGTGTCACATCCCACCGGGCGCCACGCACCGGAGGCCGCGTGGGCACAGGCCTTTTTAGAATAAATACACTTACGGTATTTTTCAGAGAACTCAAAATGACAACATGACAGAACCTTTGGAGCCGCCAGTGTCTGGAGACTATTGTGTTTGTGTGTGTGGGTGTAATGTTAGTCCCGAGAGACAAAAGTTAAAGGAGCAGTCTGTAAAAATGTGGCCAAAAGTGGTACTGCAGCCTCTCCCACTCTCCCTGACTCAGGTTGCCAGATATGCAGACGAATCCAGCTGGGACCATAACAGCTGAATAGACAAGAGTTTTGTCAACAACAAATCTATAACCAACACCTTTTTCACAAAGATAAAAATCCTGGTTTTATTCCTTGTTTTGTCGTTAATGATTTGAGAATCATAACGAGACCTTTTTTAGTTCTGCTCCACATGGTACTTTACCAGTGAGATTAGCTCCATACGGTGAGTTCTGGCGCCCGGATCAGACTTTCTGATTGGTGAAACGGTGGAGGGCGGGACATCGAAATGAAAACAATAACAAGATTTAGAGGCTGGAAAAGTAATTTAGAAATTCAAATATCTCTGAACAACTGTTATCAGTTAAAGAAGTATTGGAAAAGAGCAGTTTATTATTATGACAGATTAGGGCCCTTTAATGATGCCGGATTAGGGCCCATTAATGATAACAGATTAGGGCCCTTTAATGATGACGGATTAGGGCTCTTTAATGATGACATATTAGGGCCCATTAATGATAACAGATTAGGGCCCTTTAATGATGACGGATTAGGGCCCTTTAATGATGACAGATTAGGGCCCTTTAATGATGACGGATTAGGGCCCTTTAATGATGACAGATTAGGGCCCTTTTAGTGATGACAGATTAGGGCTCTTTAACGATGACAGATTAGGGCCCTTTAATGATGACAGATTAGGACCCTTTTAGTGATGACAGATTAGGGCTGTTTAATGATGACAGATTAGGGCCCTTTAATGATGACAGATTAAGGCCCTTTAATGATGACAGATTAGGGCTCTTTAATAATGACAGATTATGGCCCTTTAATGATGAAAGATTAGGGCCCTTTAATGATGACAGATTAGGGACCTTTAAAGATGACAGATTAGGGCCCTTTAATGATGAAAGATTAGGGCCCTTTAATGATGACAGATTAGGGACCTTTGAAGATGACAGATTAGGGCCCTTTAATGATGACAGATTAGGGACCTTTAAAGATGACAGATTAGGGCCCTTTAATGATGACAGATTAGGGCTCTTTAATGATGACAGATTAGGGCCCTTTAATGATGACTTGACATGAAAATCTTACATATAGCAACTTTAAAATACAAAAAATAAAAGTAGCCTGTTAAAACTATGATCACAACAGGAGGTGTCACTTTCCCTCCACTGGGTTTGTGAGTTTTTCCCATACAGATGGAGGAGGGTCCAAGGACAGAGATTAATTTTTCACTTTTCTGTCTGAAAAAGTTGATCTTAACATGTAAAGAATATGGTTGTAAGTGATTGTGTGGAGGTGACAGTGGCTCAGTTAGTAGAGCATTGGCCTTTGAGCCTGGAGGTCGTGGGTTCGGGCCCACAGCGAGACCTTCCCAACCGACTCCCACTGTGTTGTTGTGTCCTTGGGCAAGACACTTAACCCCCACTTTGCCTGAAGCCCCCGCTGAAAGGCCAGGGTTCCTGTGGACTCAGCACCTGCAGGAGGATCAGAGAGAGGCTGGTTCTATGTGGACTGGGTGCATCTCTGGCCACACCCCTAACCCAGAAATGGATGGATGGATGATTGTGTGGATTGAAAGTTAGGTCCCCCAGCTTTAATGGAGAAGCGTATGTATCTGAGTAGAAAGTTAGTGGTGCCCCAGGTTGGTGATAGTAAAGTCTAAATATCTGAGTAGAAAAATATGAAAAGTGAGAACGTTTTGCCGCACAGCTAAAGAAGTATCCTGGTTCTGATAAAGTCATTGGTTGTGTTTAAAACATTATGATCTTTTTTCTTTCTATGAACCCACTTCAAGGACAGCGGGTCCTGGGGGTAAACACCGGCAGCTCCACCATTCTATATTCTGTTTCAAAGAGATACATGAACGGGAGAATTGAGAATTAATTATTCATTTCACACAAACGTCCAGGTTCAGCCGTGTTTAAATGAGGTGGAATGAGCAGTTAGCTAAAGAGAGCTGCATGCTAACTGCTGTGTGTGTGTGTGTGTGTGTGTGTGTGTGTGCGCGTCTGTGTGTGTGTGTGTGTGTGTCTGTGTATATATGTGCGTGTGTATGTGTGTTAGAAAGAGAGACTATGCATGTGTGTCTATGGGTGCCTCTGAGTTACAGCCTTGGCTTCAGTAGAGGCGTCGGGCAAAGTGGGGTTAAGTGTCTTGCCCAGAGACACAACCACAGCAGACATCAGTGGGGGCAGGTCTCATGGGGGGATCGAACCCACCACCCTCAGGCTCCGCAAGGCCAACGCTCTACCAACTGAGCCACTGTCTCCCCTGAGTTCATTCTGACTGTGTTAACTCATTGACTGCAGCCGTTTTTTTTATTATTTCACTGATTCTCAAGACCCACAGAATATTATTTCCTGAGACTATGTGAAATATGAAACCAGATTCTGAAAGACTGGATTGTCTACTTTAATCAGCAAAAATAAGTTTGTAGCTGTTTTTATCGTCCTGTGATCCCCAGTGGAACAGAGGGTCTCAGACTAATACGTCAAAGGCAGTCAATGGGTTAATACAAGATTCCCCAATGGGACAAGGACATTTAGACTTATTTCAAGAACTGTTGTTTTACAGTACTTTCTCATTCCAAGAGAGACATTTCTGTATCTTTTCAAATTAAAATACATGTTGCCAAATTTATGCCATTTTTTACTTATTTTTCATCTCTATTGCATTGAACGTTTACACCAAGAGGCTGAGGTTGGTAACTTTCAATCCAGATAAAAACATATTGTGATCGAAGAAACCATTTTAGGGTTAATGCCTTTTCCACTTGTCTTTTGTGTGTCTATCAAACCAAACCGTGCAAAGAAAAGACCTTCAAAGCGAGACACTCATCAATTTGAGAGCTTGCCTCGGCCAATCCCTGGTCTGCTCCTGTGCCCAGCAGGATTACAGCTGAAACCTCTGCCTCGTCTGCCTCGGTCAGCAGTGTACCCCTCAGACCGTGACCTCCGGGTGACATCGCACCCCTCCCACTCTCCCCTGGCACGGCCTCTGCATCCGCCGCACTCCCAGACTCTGCCTGACTTTCTCAGGATTCCGGGAACAGAGGATGATTTTTCTGCCAAAGCCGGTCGGGGAGGTGTGGGCGGAGCAGACACGGACAGGAGGCTGCAACACGAGCACTTAGCGGATTCAGAGGGATCAGAGCTGACAGCGGCGTTCAGGAGACGCCGGGATGTGACCGAGCACACGGCGGCGCTTTGTGTCTCGTCGGTAAAACCCAGCAGCGGTTAGAGACGGATGTCATTGAGAATGTCATCAATGAGTCGCCAGGATTTCACTTAAAGAGGAGGTTTTTTTGCAACTTTTCACCATGTTTTTTAAATAGTTCCATAGTTTCTAGCACTGTCAGTGAGGGTCAGTTACCTCCACCTTCAGACGGGGACTTTCTGTGTGAAGTTTGCATGTTCTTCCTGTGTCAGTGTAGGTCTTCTCCAGCTGCTCTAGTTTCCATCCATCCATTTTCTTCTGCCTTATCCATTGCCAGATCGCGGGGGCAGCAGTCTGAGCAGAGACACCCAGACTTCCTTCTCCACACACACTTCCTCCAGCTCATCTGGGGGAATCCGAGGTGTTCCCAGGCCACTGAGCCACCTCAACTGGTTCCTCTCGATGTGGAGAAGCAGTGGCTCTACTCTGAGCTCCTCCCATAAGCTCCTCACCTTATCTCTGAGGGACCGCCCTGCAGCTCATGCAGATGCTTCATGTGGCGATCGAGCAGGAACCATTTTACTTCATGCAAAAGTAAACATTTATTTTAGGCTGTATTTCTTCTTTACTTACACTTTCTTTCTTGTACAGTAAGAAGATTAGTATTTCAAACTCATGCGAGATTAAACTATGAACACTGCACAAAATACAAGCAATTGGCACAGTGTGTGAGTCGGTAGCACTCTCCCCTCTCAGCAAGAAGGTCCTGGGTTCGAATCCTAGTCAGAACAGGGTCTTTCTGAGTGGAGTTTGCATGTTCTCCCTGTGCCTGCGTAGGTTTCCTCTGGGTATTCCGGTTTCCCCTACCACTAAAAACATGTACACTTGTATCCTCCAGCTCCGGTCCCGACTAAGCCGAGCATCAACGTCTGGAGATGGGTTCCCGGGCGCTGTTACTACGGCAACCACTGCTCATGACGTAAGCCTTAGTGCATCTTGCGCCCTCTACAGTTTATGTCAGAAAACACACTGTAGTTGAGGCCAGTTGCTGTTATTCCCGAGACTGGCCTGATACAGGAGTTGCCCGTTTTCACCAGATTGTCGATGTGTGCGGGGCAACTTTAGACTCTTCTTTCCTGCTTTTGGATTTTTAGCTGTGTGTGTCTGTCTCACCGTGTGTGTGTGTGTGTGTGTGTGTGTGTGTATCCTGAATCCTGAATTGTGAAGCGTCTTTGAGTTTTTGAAAAGCGCTACATAAAACCAATGTATTATTATTATTATTATCATTATTTTTCCAGCGGGTGGCCAGTGTTACTAATACAGTGTTTACTTTACAGTTAGCATTTTATAGGTTTTCTTCAAACTGATTTTTGCTGGATTTCAAGCCTAACCCTTTTTTATTAAAATCGTAAGTTACAAAATAAAATAGAAAATGAACCTAAACCATGACAGAAAACAGAAACACAACTGTCTTGTCGGTCCCTGAACCGTTTTAGTGAGATAAAGTGGTCCGTTACTGACACATCGGGACTAATACATGATCTTATGGACTAATACATGATCTTATGGACTAATACATGATCTTATGGACTAATACATGATCTTATGGACTAATACATGACTAATACATGATCTTATGGACTAATACATGATCTTATGGACTAATACATGACTAATACATGATCTTATGGACTAATACATGATCTATTGCCGTACATAAGTATATATTTAAAAGATGTACCAGAATATTACACACGTTCCAGAGGATTGTATTACTTCATATGACACAGACACTGTTTCTATTTTCCTGTACGTCTATATCCTGTCTCTATATTTATACTGTATATTTAAAGTATGTATTTATTCCGGAACACAACACATATTTGCTTCTGTTCTCCGAGGGCCCAGATTTTGGTCCCTCCCTGACAGCTTGTGTATTCATCCGTCTTCTCGTTCCGCATAAAAACATCTTTATAGCCAGGTTTTCTCATCCACATTAGAATCCCCTGCTCTCCGCTGCGCCCCTGCACCCCTCCTGCACCCCTCCTGCACCCCCCCCTGCACCCTGCGGGAAGTGGGTGCTGTTGTTTGTTAGTGGGTGTGTGTCTAAGTGAGCTGTTAAAACTGCACGCTGTCAGAGGGAACTGTCAGCAGAGTGACAAGAGCGAGCGCCGAGGAGAGCTCTGACTGATGTAACACGTGGTAATGGCTCCTATACATACATACACAGGCGCACACACACACACACACACACACGTACACGTATATACACACATACGCTGACACACACTCCATTAGAACCTTTACATAAGCTGCAGAGAGCTGTCAAGGTGTCTGCATGTATACAGGGCACCTTCAACTGTCAGAGGGAGATAATGTGCAATAATAACAGAATAACAGAAGAAATATGGGGCAGTATATAAATATCTGGTCAAGTCTTTTAGTCTTGTCCATATCTGAATTAACCGAAAACTGTCAAAAACTTTTTAAGTCATAATGAAATAGCAAGTTTTATTCCCACAAACACAGTTGAACAGAGACTCTCACCACTTCCATCTGTACACCTTCAGTTATAACACTGATGTAAATGTCTTTATACAAAAGTTCTACTCTGGTCTCTCTTTGGCCTTTCTCTGGTCTCTCTCTCTGGTTTTTCTCTGGTCTCTCTCTCTCTGGTCTCTCTCTCTGGTCTCTCTCTGGTCTCTCTCTGGTCTCTCTCTGGTCTGTCTCTGGGGTCTCTCTGGTCTCTCTCTCTGGTCTCTCTCTCTGGTCTCTCTCTGGTCTGTCTCTGGTCTCTCTCTGGTCTCTCCCTCTGGTTTCTCTCTGGTCTCTCTCTGGTCTCTCTCTCTGGTCTCTTCCTCTGGTCTCTCTCTGGTCTGTCTCTGGGGTCTCTCTGGTCTCTCTCTCTGGTCTCTCTCTGGTCTCTCTCTGGTCTCTCTCTGGTCTCTCTCTCTGGTCTCTCCCTCTGGTTTCTCTCTGGTCTCTCTCTCTGGTCTCTTCCTCTGGTCTCTCTCTGGTCTCTCTCTGGTCTCTCTCTGGTCTCTCCCTGGTCTCTCTCTGGTCTCTCTCTGGTCTCTCTCTCTGGTCTCTCTCTCTGGTCTCTCTCTCTGGTCTCTCTCTGGTCTCTCTCTGGTCTCTCTCTGGTCTCTCTCTCTGGTCTCTCTCTGGTCTCTCTCTGGTCTCTCTCTGGTCTCTCTCTGGTCTCTCTCTCTGGTCTCTCTCTGGTCTCTCTCTGGTCTCTCTCTGGTCTCTCTCTGGTCACTCTCTGGTCTCTTCTCTGGTCTCTCTCTGGTCTCTCTCTGGTCTCTCTCTCTGGTCTCTCTCTGGTCTCTCCCTGGTCTCTCTCTGGTCTCTCTCTCTGGTCTCTCTCTCTGGTCTCTCTCTCTGGTCTCTCTCTCTGGTCTCTCTCTCTGGTCTCTCTCTGGTCTCTCTCTCTGGTCTCTCTCTGGTCTCTCTCTCGGGTCTCTTCCTCTGGTCTCTCTCTGGTCTCTCTCTGGTCTCTCCCTGGTCTCTCTCTGGTCTCTCTCTGGTCTCTGGTCTCTCTCTGGTCTCTCTCTCTGGTCTCTCTCTGGTCTCTCTCTGGTCTCTCTCTGGTCTCTCTCTCTGGTCTCTCTCTGGTCTCTCTCTGGTCTCTCTCTGGCCTCTCTCTGGCCTCTCTCTGGTCTCTCTCTGGTCTCTCTCTGGTCTCTCTCTGGTCTCTCTCTGGTCTCTCTCTGGTCTCTCTCTCTGGTCTCTCTCTGGTCACTCTCTCTGGTCTCTTTCTCTGGTCTCTCTCTGGTCTCTTTCTCTGGTTTCTCTCTCTGGTCTCTCGCTGGTCTCTCCCTGGTCTCTCTCTGGTCTCTCTCTCTGGTCTCTCTCTTTGGTCTCTCTCTCTGGTCTCTCTCTCTGGTCTCTCTCTCTGGTCTCTCTCTGGTCTCTCTCTCTGGTCTCTCTCTCTGGTCTCTCTCTCTGGTCTCTCTCTGGTCTCTCTCTCGGGTCTCTTTCTCTGGTCTCTCTCTGGTCTCTTTCTCTGGTCTCTCTCTCTCTCTCTCTGGTCTCTCTCTCTGGTTTCTCTCTGGTCTCTCTCTGGTCTCTCTTTGGTTTCTCTCTGGTCTCTCTCTCTCTCTCTGGTCTCTCTCTGGTCTCTCTCTGGTCTCTTTCTGGTCTCTCTCTGGTCTCTATCTGGTCTCTCTCTGGTCTCAATAAAACCATCGCCACTGTTAGCATTAGCCTTTCAACAAACTGTTATTTCACCAGTTTTGCTCCTAAAAGTGCGTCAAGGTAAATTTTAGTAAAATGGACGGTAAATCTCACTCCTCAGACTTCTCAGAACGCCTTTGACTTGACCGGGAGCGGTCAAAATGACGGCTCTGGGAGTTCTAGCAGTGATTGTAAATCCTGCAACATTCTCCATATTTACTTCCGTGCTCCTGTGTTCACGCCGCCATCGTGCTCATGGGCACAGTGCGTCCTGTGTGTTCTGGAGGAGCTCGCCACGTTCCCCGCGCTCCAACGAGACGGCGCCGTGTTTGACTGTTTGACGTGCTAATATTGTTCTGAGTGATCATCATTTCCCAAAAGGAGCGAGAAGAAACAAATCTGAATAATGCGTGTTTGGAGAGAGTCTGAGGCGCAGACACATGTACAACGTTCTCTGTTTCAGAATAAACCGGATTCTTCCACCTAATGTTAAACTATCAATGATTATTTGGTGTCTTTTTAATCGGGCACTATGTATTTAAGACTATAGAACTCCCAGAGCAGTCAATTTGACGGCTTGTGGTTGTGGATTGCTTTGTGACATGTGTGTATTGCGCCCTCTACAGTTTATGTCAGAAAACACACTGTAGTTGAGGCCAGTTGCTGTTATTCCCGAGACTGGCCTGATACAGGAGTTGCCCGTTTTCACCAGATTGTCGATGTGTGCGGGGCAACTTTAGACTCTTCTTTCCTGCTTTTGGATTTTTAGCTGTGTGTGTCTGTCTCACCGTGTGTGTGTGTGTGTGTGTGTATCCTGAATCCTGAATTGTGAAGCGTCTTTGAGTTTTTGAAAAGCGCTACATAAAACCAATGTATTATTATTATTATTATCATTAGTTTTCCAGCGGGTGGCCAGTGTTACTAATACAGTGTTTACTTTACAGTTAGCATTTTATAGGTTTTCTTCAAACTGATTTTTGCTGGATTTCAAGCCTAACCCTTTTTTATTAAAATCGTAAGTTACAAAATAAAATAGAAAATGAACCTAAACCATGACAGAAAACAGAAACACAACTGTCTTGTCGGTCCCTGAACCGTTTTAGTGAGATAAAGTGGTCCGTTACTGACACATCGGGACTAATACATGATCTTATGGACTAATACATGATCTTATGGACTAATACATGATCTTATGGACTAATACATGATCTTATGGACTAATACATGACTAATACATGATCTTATGGACTAATACATGATCTTATGGACTAATACATGATCTTATGGACTAATACATGATCTTATGGACTAATACATGACTAATACATGATCTTATGGACTAATACATGATCTTATGGACTAACACATGATCTTATGGACTAATACATGATCTTACTGACTAATACATGATCTTATGGACTAACACATGATCTTATGGACTAATACATGATCTTACTGACTAATACATGATCTTATGGACTAATACATGACTAATACATGATCTTACTGACTAATACATGATCTTATGGACTAATACATGATTTTAAGGACTAATACATGATCTAATGGACTAATACATGATCGTATGGACTAATACATGACTAATACATGATGTTATGGACTAATACATGATCTTATGGACTAATACATGATCTTATGGACTAATACATGATCTTATGGACTAATACATGATCTTATGGACTAATACATGACTAATACATGATCTTATGGACTAATACATGATCTTATGGACTAAAACATGACTAATACATGATCTTATGGACTAAAACATGACTAATACATGATCTTAAGGACTAATACATGATCTTATGGACTAATACATGACTAATACATGATCTTATGGACTAATACATGATCTTATGGACTAATACATGATCTTATGGACTATTACATGATCTTATGGACTAATACATGATCTTATGGACTATTACATGATCTTATGGACTAATACATCATCTTATGGACTAATACATGATCTTATGGACTAACACATGATCTTATGCCCATCATACGTCACTTTACTTCACTGTACTGCTGTCACCTTACATTGTGTGCACCATGTGCACTTGTATATTGTAAATAGTAACTGTAACTCTATTTTAAATTTAAATTTATTCTTTAGAAGTGTTTTTTATTCTTATTTTTATTATCTCTTTTTGACTGTTGCACTGAGCCAAAGCAATTTCCAAGTCTGTGACCTCCCGTTACTTACGTTGGCAATAAAAATGATTCTGATTCTGATTCTGGACTAACACATGATCTTATGGACTAACACATGATCTTATGGACTAACACATGATCTTATGGACTAATACATGATCTTATGGACTAATGCATGATCTTATGGACTAATACATGACTAATACATGATTTTATGGACTAACACATGATCTTTTGGACTAATACATGATCTTATGGACTAATACATGACTAATACATTATCTTATGGACTAATACATGATCTTACTGACTAATACATTATCTTATGGACTAATACATGATCTTACTGACTAATACATGATCTTATGGACTAATATATGATCTTATGGACTAATACATGATCTTATGGACTAATACATGATCTTATGGACTAATACATGACTAATACATGATCTTATGGACTAAAACATGACTAATACATGATCTTAAGGACTAATACATGATCTTATGGACTAATACATGACTAATACATGATCTTATGGACTAATACATGATCTTATGGACTAATACATGATCTTATGGACTATTACATGATCTTATGGACTAATACATGATCTTATGGACTATTACATGATCTTATGGACTAATACATGATCTTATGGACTAATACATGATCTTATGGACTAATACATGATCTTATGGACTAATACATGATCTTATGGACTAATACATGATTTTATGGACTAATACATGATCTTATGGACTATTACATGATCTTATGGACTAATACATGATCTTATGGACTATTACATGATCTTATGGACTAA